ACCTCATTATAAGTAACTATTCACTGGAGTGGCAAAAAATATTTCCACGTATATTTAGTATGTTCGATATTATTAAATTTTAAATTAGCAACCACCTGTCCTCAAACAAAAAATATTTTATAAAATAACCTATTGTCAATTAAGATCTATAACTTTTTGTCACTGTACAGCATCTAGAATAACAATTTCAACTAGCATTGGTTATATCTAATAGGTGAAGTACTCAACGGCACCATCTAGTGGCAAAATCTGGCACTATACACCGAGCAACTCCATAGCTCAATTAACTTCTGTTTAATCATATTTTCTGCTACAACTGTGCACAATAAAAAGTTACATACATTTCGATATGCTTGTAAACACAAGAGAGAAAAGATTGCTCTTTCCATTTCTACATTCCAAAAATTGCACGATCATTTTTGTCACTCGCTCACTCTAAGAGATATATGATCTTATATTCCAACATTTTACCAAGACACACGTGAAATCGAATTTAACCCATTACATTAGAAATCCAATCAGTGAACTGTCTTATCCCATTCTTTTTTAACACAACCCATAAGATATATTAACAGGAAATGTCTACAGATCGAAATCAAAGCGATATTTTCTCAACAATCGATTTACCGGTTCCACCCTACTTACGACAGCTTCGTTTCAAAGTTAATCCAAATAACAAATAAATTTAACGCGATAAACGTTGCCGGGGACAAAAAGCGGCCATTAATTAACGCCAATCGTAAAGGGGCATGCATAGGAAACTTTTTCTCCCCAAGATTTTATCAAGAGCAAATCCAAGTGCAATGGAAACCAACATGTCTGTCGGCCTAATCGATAAATCGTTTTCTATACGCTTATTTTAAAGCATGACCGGTAAGAAAGGTTTGCCTTGTTTCGCCTTGTTTTTATTTAGAATTAAGCAGCGTAGAGAGGCAATGGAGCAACGCGAGTGAAAGGGTTGTTTGGTTGAAAGAGATCAAAATCATGACAAATCTGCGGGTATCCTCGGGACCGATCGCAGGACACAAGAAGATGGATCGCCGGATCGGCTGACCGCAAAAGAAAGAAAAGGAGCTGTTATTAACACGCGATTACAGAACGCAAATTAATCTTGCGGCCGGCTCGCAACAGCAACACAACGCACCGATGATTATTATATTAAGTCAACGTTTGTATGCGGGGAATCCAATTAGCTCCAACGTCCGAGCCTCCCCCTCCCGCCGGTATAAATTATATGTGTATTAAGGGCAATCAGTCTAGCAGGCTGCAGGCTATAGGATAGATGATCCACCGAGCCGCGAGATATAATGGCGCGCGCAAAGAAACGTCGCGTCGTGAGCTTTACTGCAGCCGCGCATGCGCGAAAGTATAGCAAAATCCAGCGAGCTAAGTCCGCTCCGACGCTTCGGCTGATCGTGGGATATCGACCTATGACGTTTCGGTCCCATTCCGGATCAAAATGATCGGCACGTTGCAATAATGATTGATCGAGTTCTGGTAGGCCGGTCTTTTCGTTTCTAGAAATCAACCTGACGCGTTATGGTTATTTCTTACAGTTGCATTACGCGATTCATTAAAATTCCATCCTTTGGTCTTTGATCTGAATACCCGGGTGAATTGGTATCGCTTCGAATATAGCTAGTAGTCCAGTTACTTCACGGGATGTCGTGCTTTCTTGTGGAGTCTATTAGGGATGAGGAAGAACTTGATTACGAGGCATTTTTAAATATATATTTAGGAGCAATTTTGTTAGATGGCACTTTAATATAGGTTTGGGAACAATTTGGATGGAAGTCAGTTTAATGATTTTGATAACAAAATTGCATCATTTACAGCAAATTTAATACAACGTAACTGTGGAATTGACCATAGTTCGGTATATAAAACTGTAGGTGTTACTATGTGAAGAGTAAAGGGATAAAACAAAGGGATGTTTGCTTACTGATTTTCGATACATATTTTGACAATAGTAGTTAATTTTATAATAGAATCTGGGGTAGGTAAAGCTACTAATTGTCCCATTTCCATCAAATAATTTAATACTGTACTATGGAACTGTGGAATTGACCATAGTTCGGTACCACAAACTGTAGGTGTTACTATACGAAGAGTAAAGATAAAAGACAAAGGGATGTTTGTTTACTGATTTTAGATTTACATTTTGCAACAGTCGTTAATTTTATTCTAGTTGAACACCAGGGTAGTTAGAATTACACTTTAATTTAGTTAAAATTTAGAGCAATTGATACTATACATCTACGTTTTTGATTTGACTATGAATGATATAGTTAAATTCGTAGAATCTTGTTCCTTCACTAATGAAGTTCCAAATACTACAAATTGATTTGATATAAAAGTTGAAATATTCCTCGTTTTTCCCTGATCCTTCATATCATATTATGTATATGGAGTACTTTTGTGTATACAAAGTATATTAAGTACAAGCTATACTTTAAGATTTAGACTTACAACGATCTGTTAGTCTTGTAACAATTTGTAAATTTATTCTTCTCAATTTTAATATAAAAATTCGTTTAAGTACTTATTATCTAAGAGTTTAATCTTGAACTAGAATGAACATGTATGAAATTCACTCATGCAATGTACAACAATTTCCAAGAAAATACTGCATATGTCTAGTTACTGTTCCTAGTAACTTCTACGCCATCTGTTGAAATAAAGTTCCCACATCGATATATCATTTTAATGACTCGTTTGCGTTAATAAAGATAGTATACTAATTAAGATTGTGTGTTTTAGTTGCATCTCTTCCGTGATTTTATTGTTCGTTTTATCACGTTAAAGTAAAGTTTCGAAAGGCGCGACTAATATTTCCTAGGGTTCCCTAGAATTTTAACCAGTCCCCAGTGTTTATCATCGCTCGTAACTTTTACCGACTGAGTGATCGAGTATCCAATATGAACGAAACTAAAACTAATTGAAACTAATTGTAAACTTGACTGGAGTAATATCAGATATTGTTAAACCGATAGAAAATGCTGACAATTTTTAATTATTTGAGTTTTGAGTTCAATTAATTATACCTAACCGAGCAACGTGATAACTAAATAATTCTGTTCCTAACCTATACGTATATCCAACCACATCACCGCTAATGTTGTTTCGACCTAATAAAAATTTTACTCCACGGATTCGTTTTTCCCCTATTATCTTAATTCTCTGTAGACACGTTTCGTAGCATTTTACAAGATTTATGCGTCTACATTCCGCAATGCACCTTACAAAAATATTTATTAAACTCGTTGCGGCTAATGGTTCCGCAATGACCGAGGGATTTTTCAGTTTCACTGGATATTTCGCCGCATCTAAAACACATTATTTGATATCTACATTTCCATGAACGAGCATCAACGCGTCAAACCTACGAGTTTTCCCGCCATCAGTGTTACTTTTACTATACTTTGTTTGACAGGAAAGCATTGCGAGACGATAATCTAGGAGCAGATTGGCACAGTTATATAAAGAGCTAATGAGTGAGTTTTTAATCGATGTCATTATCTTCTTTCGTAACTAGAGTGCTTTTAAATACGGTAACGTACGAAAGAAGAAGGTGTGTGGAGCGTTCGTGATGTCTTCTGACTTGATTCATTCGATCTACATAGTTCTTGCTCGCTCCAGCTATTTGAATTGAAAAATATGTATCACGTAATATGACAGACTCATAAATCTTGGAATTTATATTACGCATTGCGTCAATAACGGAAAACGGAATTTTGAATGTAACATTGGAACCCGTTTATCCGAAAGCACGAATTGTATTTAATTCTTTACTAATCAGAATCGTATTAATAATTAATTATCACGACAAATTATCTAGGGATCTTCAATTATTTTACTAAATAAATATTTAGAAGAAAAAAACGAATAATATATAATAAAAAAATTTAATTATTACTAATTTAAAAGTGAATTACAAGACAAGAATCGGTGGAGATGTATAATGTACAGTCTGTTGTAAAAATGTTAACTATATTCAACTATATGTAGTATATTATATTGATACTCTAATTATATTATGTTAAATAAACTCTATTACAATGTATTATCATATTTTTTTAAGTTTTGTGTTAGATTGTAGAAATTAATTTCAAAATGGCGGTAGAAAATAAATTTGGTACTAGAAGTAAACTAGAATTGAATCGTAATTTGCATATTCCATTGAAATGTAATATACGTATATGAATTACATGTGAATTACACAATGAGAATCAGTTGATATGTACAGTACAGTCGGGTATAAAAATGTGTACGTAGGTACACTAAGTATACTTAACTATACTGCATGATATGACATTAGTATATGATAGTTGTTTTATTTTATGTAGCATTATATTAGCTCTATTCTGGTATGAGGAAACTAATTTTTTATCTTCACTGTATGATTATTTAATACTAGAATAATCGAGCTATAATAAGTAGATAGCTAAATATGGTACACATATATAAATAAATGTATATAGTTAAATTTCTATCTGGATAAAAATTAATACCAATTTTCCAAGAAATGACTGCATATTTTCGATAATTTCAAAAGCAGACAATCCCAAAAGTCAGCCATTTTGACTAATTTTATAATTTTATTATTACAATACAAAATATTTTTCAAACAAAATATTTTACTGTTAAAAGAACACGATATTTGTGATCGACTAAACAATCTAAACCGATTCTTTTCTGCGTAATGCACTTTCGAACCAAATTAAGGAATTTTCTCCATTTTGTTTTATGGGTTTATTAATATTCCGTCAGCGGAATATAAAGCTGCAGGATATAATGAAACATGCTAATAGGAATCGTTTTACACGAAATTGTTTAAGCAGCAAGAGGTAACCGCAGTTTACAAATTGACCCACAATAAATAATCATCGAGCATCGCATTTCCTGATATAAATCATGTCTCCGACTTTCTCCTCGTTGTGTTAAAAAAGATAGGGTTATTGAGCAACCATACGTCTCTTTTCTTTCTAGCGTTTTCTTACCTCGTGTTCAATGGCGTCCGCAGGAACTGGTGCGCCATCTGAAACAAAGGGTAAGTCTTGTCAGACAGGAGACACTATATGAATGGGGCATTAATCACGAAATATTGTGATAAAATATTTCCTAGAAAATATAAAGTTAATTAATACTATCAAAATCTATTTAATTTAAAGGCTTATACAATTCATATGGTCGTTATAATGTACTTACGATGCAAATTAATCTGACGATTTATGTAATATATCATGTAAGTTATCTGACGATATTGTACAGTGTTATATATATAATAATTAATAATTGTATATACTACATATTATTAAAATTCGACACAGTTTTATAATAATTATGAGCGACAGTAAGTGTAATATAAATATACTATACAAATAAATCGAAAAAAAATTATTGAATAATTTAATTTAGAAATATCAAGAAACTATATGTAATAGAACATATAAAGAAAGTATATGCATATATATTATAAATTATAATATTAAATTATATTATTATATAATTATGTATTAAATAAAAATTATTGTATATTATATTAAAAATTCTGTTTCCATCTAAAGTGAGCTCTATTTGGTTAAGAAGAAAAATCGTATATATGTATTATTATTATTATTATATTTTTGTATGATAAATACAATATATACACATTTCTTTTTAATCAAATATAGCTTATTTTAGAACTGATTATTTTACTCCTGTAATACATACATGATAATAAGATATTATCAAAGATAAAATTAAATTTCTTATGAAACAGCATTTTTAATCATATTTATAAATTCGATCAAATATGTTCTTATTTGCTTGAAATAATAAAGCAATGTTTATACTAGTTTTTACACCTCATCGTAAATGAGAGAAAACGTATCATATGTATCATACGTATCATACCTATTTCAAGGATAATAAGAACGAAAGCACTTGCTCATGTTGTTCACAACTGTTCTAGCTTTAATGGTCCGTATACATGCGTGCATAAGTTCTCTTTAAGTCTCGTTCTCCATATGGCTTCCAACGGTTTGATCTTATAATAAAACACCTTATTCGACGGCACAAGTATGCAATGATAAATTGATCATGATTGCACGAAACAGTTCGATTCATGGATCATGGTTACGAAATCCAAAGTTCGAAAAGTTCATTAAACCGTAGAAAGTCCTGAATGTCCAAGAAAAATTCTTAATGAGTCTCTAGACAAAAATTGAAGTACAGTTAAACTAAAGCAGAATTCCAAAGCCTTAATTTTCCTTCACTATAATTACAATTTTATAAAATGTTCCATAAAAAAATTGGAAAATTTTGCCAGTGGGTATAATAACGCGAATGATTTATTATGCACTGTGAAACGTCCCTAATGATAGGAAATTAAACAGCACATAATTTTAATATTATCATTGATATTAGTAATTAAGTGATTTAGTATATTTTTGAGACAACTATTGCATACAAAAAAAGAAACTAGAACGACCAATTAAAAAAGAAAAAGAAAATACAAAATTGATCTTATCTCATTAATCTTCCTAACAGAACACAAAATATAGGACGTTACAATTTTTCTATGCATAGCGCAGATAAATATGAAGTTTTAATTGTAGCAGCGATATTTCATATGATACAGGCAAATTACACATCCTATAATTTTATCCAGCTAACTGTAGATATTAAAGTTTAAATAATAATCGAAGAACCGTAATCGATTCAAAAAAGCTCAAGAATTTTTAAAAACCACTTATGGTTACTGGTATCAACGATGCCCTGTGCGATCATCTTCTCGTTTAATTATAAGTTACCTACTGTGCTGGTTAGTCATTAACACTGTAACTAAAAAATGACCACTTTCAGACCTTTTATCTTGGCAATTATCGAAAACACGCAGCTGCTTCTGCCAATGTTATCGTTACCTTTTATTATAATGAAAATGTAATTATATATGCTTATTTACATTTAAAATACCACTCTAATTATTACTATTTGAATGTATAATACTATATTTAGATATACGTACATTGGAGGTCAGTAAACCTAATGTTAAAAAGCCCATTATTGTTTTAAATAATAATTGAAAATCTTAGATTCAGACATTCGTTGTTACAGATATTCATAACTGCATAATTTTATGGGTTCATTCGTTTAATATCTAATTTGATAAATAACATTAGGATACTACTATTATGGTGTAGGAAAATTCTTGTCATCCATAGTGACTGTAAAACCAATAATACCTAACACAAAAATTACTAAACTAGTCAAAATGATTAACTTCCGAATATTCTATGTTTCCAATTCCAAAATTAAAAGAAAATTAATATACACTTCTACCTCTTTCAAAATTAAAAATTTATTTTATTAAAAATTGGAAATTTAACAATCATGCAGACTATTTATTTTCACCACAATTCTCAAATTATTGTTAACTATATTTAAACTATATTTAAATACATAAAACAGGTCTATAGTTCTAATGTCAATTAAAATGCCTATTCGAATTTCGATGGTCCCATTTCCTAATACAAAAATAGCTAAACTAGTCAAAATGACTAATTTCCTAACATTTTATGTTTCCAGTTCCAGAAACAAAAGAAAATTAATATTCGCTTCTACCTATTTCAAAATTAAAAATTTATTTTATTAAAAATTAGAAATTTAACAATCATGCAGACTATTTATTTTCACCACAATTCTCAAATTATTGTTAACTATATTTAAACTATATCTAAATACATAAAACAGGTCGATAGTTGTAACGTCAACTAAAATGCCTATTCGAATTTCGATGGTTCCATTTACGGTATCTCACAACGTAATGCCCACATCGCCATAAACCCACTGACCTTTACGAAATTAAAACGAATCTTAAACCAGTTTCGTGGAAAGTGCAATTATCCGAAAGGAAGGGTCGCGATCATCGGTCGATCATACGCAAATCTGTTGATTAATTCGCTAATAGGTATGATCGCAAAATTACTCATCTAATAAGGGTTAAATTGAATACCGGAACGGTCGTTGATAAATGATCGTCCCCTTGCTATTCAAGGCATATCGAGGCGCTCCTTGAAATTTTCAATCAAGCAACAACGAAGCTGCCTGAGAATGATAAATGCGACCGGTCCAACGATCTACATAAAGGCCGAAGACGATTATTATCCATATGTTGCGACGCATTTCATACAATTTCCACGCTGGAAATTATGCCTGTAACAACGGTTCTTTGACACCTTGCAAAACGGTCCGACCTCCCATGTTTACGACGCGTTTACACGTAAACTGTAACGTGGTCGTAGAGTGCGCGGGATACACCATCACTCGCGTTCGTTATTCATAATTTGTGCTTTATTTTCATCTACAACGAATACGCGTAATAAAATATAATTTAAATAGCGAGTCGAAGTAAATCGCTTCGGCAATTTTTAAATTTTATTACACTGCAAGGTTCCTTTTCCTCGATTTCGAGTAATAATCGTTAAGCACGATCTTCAAGACGCAGGTGGGAAAGTTAGAAATCTTCGATCATCGTAATCAGAGTAAAGAGTGGAAAATAAAAATAGATACTTCCGCATACCGTTAATTCGCAGTTCCCAATGTAATAGGATAACATCAATAACAATAATGAATGATTAATTACGAATGAGTCACGATATCAAAAAGTAACGGAAGCAAGAAGTTATTAGATGCGTAACAGAAGCATTCCTACTTATTGAGACATTTCATTCCACGGTAATAAATCATTGCGCGTTAACTACACACGTCTGTGCATATAGATCGACGGTAAATTGATCTTTTTAATATCGTTACGAAAATAACCGTTTCTATGAACGAGTATAAAAAAGGAGGGAATAAAATTCGAAAAGTACCTTCTAATATTTTCTTCGTACGGCGAATAATAAATGGCCGTAGGTAAAACTTAGAAAGAGTTAGGTTAGAAAGGATTAATTAACACAAACTGTTCGACCGTGCAGCCACGACAGTTTTCTTTCAGCGTTGTCAGGAGAGAAAGTCAATTACCGCGATGACAAGCCACAAACGTTTAGCGATGACGTAGTACGTCTCCGGAGATCCTCGTGGTACGTGTTCAAAGTTAAAACGCTCGAGCAGTTGCTCCCCTGGCTCCACCTGTCAACTACAGTTTGAAAGACAAGGCGCTCGGATCGCCTGGCGCATTTCCTGCTCGCAGCGCCGCTTGAAAATTTCGCCAGACGTCCACCACGCGACAATGGACATCGAGACGAACCATTTTTATCGCATGCCAGTTTCTAATTGATCGAAATCGTTGTGCAAGCGATGAAAGTGCGACATTATACAATGACAAAGGAACGTTGATCGATGGTTTCATTGGAAATCGGTCTATCGTTTATAGGTTAGGTCATAATGGCGAAGAGTGCCTTCAAGATGGAATAAACAAAAATTCATTTCTTACGAGACCTAACATAACCTAACTTAACCTCTATGGATACTGCAATTGGAAATCAGTCTATCGTTTATAGGTTAGCTTAGAATGGAAAAGAGCGTGTTCGATAAGGAATCAACAAAAATTCATTTCTTACGAGGCCTAACCTAACCTCTATGAGTAATATGATTGGAAATCAGTTTATCCTTTATAGGTTAGGTTAGAATGGCAAAAAGTGTGTTCGTTATAGAATAAACAAAAATTCATTTCTTACGAGTCCTAACATAACTTAGCTTAAACTCTATGGATACTGCAATTGGAAATCAGTCTATCGTTTATAGGTTAGGTTAGAATGGCGAAGAGTGTGTTCGAGATAGAATAAACAAAAATTCATTTCTTACGAGACCTAACATAACCTAACCTAGCCCCTATGAGTATTACAATTGGAAATCAGTCTATCGTTTAGAGGTTAGCTTAGAATGGAGAAGAGTATGTTCGATAAGGAATCAAGAAAAATTCATTTCATACGAGACCTAACCTAACTCCTATGAGTACTACAATCGTAAATCAGTCTATCGTTTATAGGTTAGCTGCAAACGACGAAGAGTGTTCTTATAAGATTTCAATTATTATACTAGAAAATATAT